ACAATCAAACAGAAGTTGATTATTGGAGGTCATTCACATCTGCACCGATTGAGACTTACAGGTAGGGTTGGATTACCGTAATCCAACGTGAACTATGCAGACATTCTTAAAATTCCTCTGAAATCGTTTAGGGACCAGATTAGTCTAGTTCCATGTCAAATGGGCTGGGAGTACGACAATACCACTTATACGGACAGTCTGGTCACGGAGGTATAACAATTTTTGCTGGAATTTGCTTTTATGCCCCTTTGGCCGACTTCTACCAAATTCTCCGAGATATTCATTACTTATTTGAAAATTCAATCTGTCATTCACTAGTGGTGAAGTTACCACCTATTACTCATTTCAAATTAGCTGCTTTATTATTCTGAAATCATTGCAAATTATTACTTGGCGATGCGTAAACCGTGTCATAACTTATTTTCCGAAAATTTTGCAGTTCAACCTCGTCTGTGATCACCAGCACTGGGTAGAAATCTCTACAACCTCATTTTATGTGGGGAGCTTTATCGGTAATTTCCTCTTCGGATACATTGCTGACAAGTAAGCTTACATTGTGGGGATTGATTGAATTTGAACTCAGCCTCTTTGTATGTCTTCAGATTTGGTCGACGTCGCAGTTTCTTCATCATTCTTACATGCCTCGTTGTCTTTGGAACGATAAATGCTTTCGTCAAGGTGATTCGCGTCACTACTTCGGCTATTCCGACTTGTTTTCTTTTTCAGAACATTGAATCCTTCATAGTCATGCGATTTCTGACTGGACTGCCATTCCCAGCGCTATTCCAAATTCCATTCATCATTTGTGAGTTCTTTCTTCTGCGGTACGTTTTTTCAAAAATTTGTGTACAGGTATGGAATTCATGGGTAAATCCGGACGTATCTTCTCGGGTCTTATGATTTCGCTATTCTTCGGCGCAGCTATGGCGCTTCTTGGTGTCTTGGCCATGTTCATCAGAAGGTGATTTCATGTAAATAACAAGTATCATAAGTTGAATGACACCAATATTTAATGTAACCTACTCTATAGCAAACTACTTCTTGAGTTTTCCTCACTGCCTTTGGGTTTTTAAATAT